GCCCCTTCGAAGAGGGCCGGTTTGGCTGCCTGCATGGCAGAATGGTCAGGCCGAGCCGCAGGCAGTGACCACCCTCCCGCTCATGCCTTCAGCAGCCCTGCACTGAGCAGCCAATCCACCCTCGGAGCTGCTTCCTGGGGGCACCCCCTCTAGGTCTCCACCACTCAGAGCTGCTGCCTTCCTCCTCTGGCGCCCTCATCACCCACGGGACCTGGACGAAGGCCCACGGCAGCCTCTGAGAGGCCTGGCGCGCTCCCTGGGCGCCCCTGGCAGGCCCCTGGAAGGAGGCCCGGTGACCTGACCAGCACTTCATTGCCCCAGGTCCCCCGAGGGCATCACGCAACACCCACATCTCCAGGCCAGGGTCGTCTCGAAGGCCCTCCTGTCCTCTCGGCACCGGGTAAAGGGACGGGGCTGGGAGGTGATCAGAAAGGATGTACAAGCATTTGCTGCCAGTGCCCCACTGCTCCACACCCAGAGTAGGAAACCGGGAGGACAACGGACGGGCAGCTGTGTGGACACAGGCTCCCTGGGCCTTGCTCTCGGGGCCCTGTCGCCCAGCACTGCCCCCTCCCCAGGAAAGCTGGACTGGGGTGTGGACTCCCCCAGGTTGGGCAACTTTACCTTAACCAGCTTCAGCGAGAGCCCAAACCAGGAATGCCACCTAAGATTTAAAGGAGCAGCAGCAACCAGCCAGCCACGCCGAGGGTCACTTGCCCAACACGGAGCGGGGAGAGCGATGCGCTGCCTGCAGAACCCCTGGACCGGAGCTGCCGAGCAGCTGACCCTGTCCTGCTCTGGCCACTCTACGTGCTGCAGGGGCCAGCCCACCTGTAAGCCAGACTGATTCTCAAAGGCACGACCGAGACCAATGCCTCCCATGGAGGCGCAGGCAGCTTCTCAGAGCAGCAGTATCCCGAGTGGAGCAGGGGCCGTGGACAGCACGATGCCGCGCCCACCCACCTCCTGCTCGCGATGCAACTCCGAGGGAGGGAAGACGGGAGAGGCCCACTGCCCCTCCAGTCACCACGTGACTGAGCCCTCATTTTAAGGGGTGCACACTGAGACCCAGAGAGGCAAAGAGACTCATAGAAGGGGGGCAGTTTGGGGCCTAGGACCCCTGACTTGGTCCCCTGTCCTTTCCACCTCTCTGCACCTCACCCATCCCATCAGCTGCTTTCCCACCTCCTCGGAGACTCGTTCTTCCTCCCTCTGCTCCACTGACAGCAGCAAAGAGGCTGTTCCATGTTTTCCACCAACTCGTTAAGGATTTTCTGACCTTCGGTGACAGGCCGGCCTGAAGCCACCTGGACTGGACACTGTGACACACACACTCAGCCAGCTCCAATCTCCCCCCGTGAAGCCCCAAACCTAGAGCAACAGCTCTTCCCCGGGGCCGAGGCGGCCTGGCGGTCGCCAGGGCAATGCCTGCCCTTTGCGTAGGACCCCAAGCCTGGACTTCAGATTCCCGCCGTCCTGCTTTTCCCAAGGGCACAAAGCCCCTTCCCCCAGCAAACCCTGCCGCTCCCCCTCGAACGCCTCTGCGTCTTTAAGGTGCAACCTGGGAAACAACCTCACAAACAGAGACTTGCTCAGTCCTGAGAAGCCACGGCCTGAGAGTCAAGAGCGCGGCTTGGGGTCCGGGTTCGAGTTAGTGGCCAGAGCGCAGGACTCTTTCTCCCTCGGGGGTCACCTTTCAAAACTGCCCCTGCCCAGCAGGAGCCTCTGCCTAGGACTCGTGGGGCCCTGGAAGGCTCCGCCCAGCGGGCCCAGGGCTGGACCGGAGCTCACAGGAAAGACAGTGCCCAAGCGTTTTACTTCATAAAATAAAAATAAAACCGACAGCTTTGGCTCATCTGACTGATGGAAGGGACAAGCTGCTGAATGAGGTGGCTGAAACGTCCGATGCCACGTCACTATGCATATTCTTCTTGGTATTTCCTATTTCCTACTTGCTTGTGAGCCACAAGATTTAACTATAACCATTAGGAGCACAGACAGCAGTGGGCATTTCACAGAATGAAAGATTCTACTAACAGCACACTTAAGGTCATAGATCTTTATTAGGCCTTCCTTTGGAATTAAGAAATAAAAAATATTAGCCTGCCATCTTTTAGAATTAAAATTTAGCCTGCCGTCGCTTGGCCTGGGTAGGAACACCACTTAGGCAGTGGCTGACGCCACCTCGAAAGGCTGGAAGTTAGAAGACCAAAGGTCTAGTCTGGTTCCGTGTAAACGTAGGCAAGTTATTCCAGTTCTATGTGACTCAGTTTCCTCAAAAAAAAAGAAGGAAAAAAAAAAGACTGGTACTGACCTTTCCCGGGGACCAGTGTGTAATGTTAGAACGTGCTCCAAGAAAGGTTGCAGAACATCAGACAGTGATATGACCCAGTGTTGTTGAGACAGGTCAAGGGGGAGACAGCAGAAAGAGAACACAAAGCCAATTGCAAAAGAGAAAAGGTGAGCTTTCCAATGACAACCTCACATCCTTTAAAAAAAAAAAAAAAGGATCAAGTGCGAACCAGGGGCCTTAGCAAGAGTGCCATGGCAATGAATCCACGGGAATTCTAGTAGCCCTTTCTACAACTGGTGCTGGACAACTAACTGGACAGCCACCCGCTAAAGAACAAAGTTAGGCCCCTACCCCACGCCGTCTGTAGGCATCCCTCGGAGGCACTGTGGGTTTGGCTCCAGGCCACTGCAAGAAAGCTGGTATCATAAGAAAGCAAGTCATAGGAGTTTTGCTGGTGGAGGGTCTTGCCTTCAGTTCGTAAAAAATGTAACATCTGTGAAGTGGACCAAAACTAGCTACACCTGCACAAAAACTAGCTCAAAATGAATCAAAGATCATTGTGAAAACTAAACAATAAGACTTCTTAGAAGGAAAAATAAACATAAATCTTCTTGACCTTGGATTAGGCAATGGTTTCTTAAATTTGACACCAAAAGCACAAACAATAAAAGAACAAACGGATAGGCCCTGGCCGGGTAGTTCAGCTGTTGTCCTGATACGCCAAGGTTGCAGGCTCGGTCCCCGATCAGGCACATACAAGAAAACCAATAAATGCATAAATAAGTGGAACAACAAATCACTGTTTCTTTCTCTCTCTCTCTCTCTCTCTCTCTCTCTCTCTCTCTCTCTCTCCATTCTTTTCTCTTTAAAATCAATTTTTTAAAAAAGAAAAGAAAAAATGGGTAGTCTTGCATTTCATCAAATTGAAAGAACAACATCACGGAAGTGAAGACAACCCACAGGATGGGAGAAAATTTTTCCAAATCATATATCTGATAAAGGACCTGTATCTAGAATATGCAAAGCACTCATATAACTCAATAATAAAAAGACAAATAAGCCAATTAAAAACGGGCAAAGGATAAACATTTCTCCAAAGAAGATATACAAATAGCCAATAAGCACATGAAAAAAATGCTCAACATCATTAGCCATCAGGGAAATGAAATCAAAACCACAATGAGATCACTTCACACCCACTAGGATGCTCTCATCAAAAAGACTCATACGATAGCAAGTGTGTGGAGAAAGCAGAACCCTCACCCACCGCTGATGGGAAACGCTGAGCTGCTCTGGAAAACAGTCCAGCAGTTACTCAAAAAGCTAAACATAGTTACTACATCACCCAGCAACTCAACTCCGATGTATATTCCCAAGAAAAATAAAAACGTGTGTACATAAAACTTGTACAAGTACGTTTATAGCAGCATTTTTCATAACAGCCAAAAAGTAGAAACAACTCAAACACCCATCAAGTGATAAATGGATAAACAAAATGCAGTCTGTCCATTGAATGAACTATGACTCAGCTAAAAAAAGGACTAAAGTACTGATACACGTTTAATATGGATGACCCTAGAAAGCAATATGCTAAGTCGAAGAAGCTAGTCACAAAAGACCACATATTGTCTGATCCCATCTATGTATAAAATGCCCCAAATAGGCGAAGCTCTATAAAAAGTAGACGCTGCCCCGGACCAGGGAGGTAGGAGAAAAGTGGGAACGTGACTGCTAAAGGGTACAGGGCTTCTTTGGGGGGGAGGGTGATGAAAATGTTCTAAAATTGATTATGCTCATTCTGTGAACTTACCAAAAACCATTTAATTGTACACTATAAGTGGGTAAACTGTATGGTCAGTGAATTGTATCTCAATAAAGCTCTTATTGGCTCCTTCTTCCCCCCAAAAAAGGAAAAGGAAGCAGGAACCTTTCTTTACACTGTAGGAGTACCACACCTGCTGTGCCAACATAATTATTACTACATCCCATTCCCTCTCCAAATGCCCTGGCTTGTAGATAAATGTGCGTCACCCCCTGTCACTGTGTGTTATCAGGAGGTGGCTTTGCCCCCTGGGCTTCAGTTTCCCCATCTGTAAACCAGGCTCCCCCAGTTCTGACCACCTCTGACACAGCACTATATCCCAAAAGCTCTACTCCAGAAGCTGTAAAATCCTGCTCAGTTGGCCATAGGTTCATCATGCTTTGGAAGATGAACCTAAACTAGCAAAGAGTTGAAGCCCTGGGCCAGCATTAATTACTGGATCCCAGGAAACAGAGGCAAGACAAAGAGGAATTCCTTAGTGCACCAGTTACCGATATTCAAATTTCCTCCGACGCCACTAAGAAAGGTGATCCGATCACAGCAACGAGGGGAAACTGCTCTAACCACATCCCCTACAAATGAAAAAAGATCAGCATTTCCTGTGAGGGGCCCTCACAGAAAACACAATATCCTCAGGGAACTCGGCAGGTTTGGCAGCAGGCAGTCTTCTCTAAATGGGATTTGGTGAGGCACTCAAGAGGGCTAGGTATTGTGACGGCCAAGGTCACCTGATCACACAATGGGATGATCATGTCCTAGTCCCGTGGTCGGCAAACCGCGGCTCGAGAGCCACATGCGGCTCTTTGGCCCCTTCAGTGTGGCTCTTCCACAAAATACCACGTGCGGGCGTGCATGTACAGTGCGATTGAAACTTCGTGGCCCATGCGCAGAAGTCAGTATTTTGTGGAAGAGCCGGTATTTTGTGGAAGAGCCACACTGACGAGGCCAGAGCCGAATGTGGCTCACAAGCCGCGGTTTGCCGAGCCACAGTTTGCCGACCACTGTCCTAGTCCTCCTCACCCATGACTGCTGAGAAATAACATTACACCACAGGAACTCAACAGGAGTTATTTTGTTCTCATCCCTTTTACACTCGTGAGAATGAGCTTAAAAACAGCCTTTCTACTCACTCCCCACCCTCCCGGGCCTTGTTCTGTGTGGCAGGTCCCACACGCACAGAGAGGTGCCCCATCTCAGGGTTTTGTAGTAGCAGATCCTTAGGAACAAGGTAAAGTGAAAGAAGGCACGGAGTGAACCCCACTCCCATCAATCCACCCAAGAGCAGGACAGACAGGTGCTCACCAGGACCATCGAGAACGAAATGAACACGAAGACAGATGATGGTGGCAAATCGCCCCCATCTGGTCAGCAGTCCTGGCCATGGAGCCAGTTACCAGAGAAGAAGGCGAAGGGTGGGGCCGAGCTTTGCCTGGAGGCAGGGGAGTGGTCAGAAAGAACCAACACATTGGCACCAAGACAGCCATGAACTAGCCTCCAACTAGGAGAGCAAGGCGTTTCAGACCAGACGCCCCCCTCACCGCTGTCGGCCTCTTTAGAGAGGCAGGTGTGGGGAAAGGACCAAGGAACCATTCAAAAGCTGGAGGCCAAGAGCAAGGGAGAGAGGAGCCGGGGGGATCTGCATGCAGAGGTCTGCGCGGGTTTCTGCTGGCTGCCGGTGTGCAGCTTTCTTAGATCAGCAAGGTCCCTTCTAGCCGCAGCTGGCCAGGAAGGCTGCAGCTTCCGATGGTGAATTCCTACATCCAAGGGGGTCCACGGGGCTGGGAGGTGGAGGCAGCTGCCGCTCTGTGCTGCTCAGAGGCCACATTTCAGGATGATGTGGTAGCCATCACTGCTTTCCGCTGCAAGAGGGAAACACTGGGCATTTTTCAGGAAGAAAGGCATGGCGCCGTGGCATGGGGGAGTCACGGGAGGCATGGAATAGGGCGCCACGGCAGCCCCATCACCGATGTTGGCGAGACCACAAAATCAGGCTGCACTGACAAAAGCAGATACCTCCACACATGCCTTCCCGTCTGTCTGACAACAGGCCTTCCCACCTCAGCTCCGGGCCCAAGGACCAAAAGGCCCACATCCAAGGAGGCTCTGCACACACTGTTTCTCAGGTGAACGGCCTCAGGGCCGTAACGAAGCAGCATCATTCTGATGGACTCCACACACTCACTGCCTTTCCTTCTCCTGGCCCACGAGCTCGACTCCTTCCTCAGGAGGGCCCTTCATACCCCCGCGCCCCGCGTCCCCAACCCACCAGACCCAGCTGCTGTATTCCATGCTCACTTTTCCTAGAGCCCGAGGTTTAGAAAAACTCAAACACATCTTCTGTCCACCTGACACTGAGTCTGTGGGGGACACACTGTCTGGCCAGGACTTCCCTTTCAGAAGTGACTCTGGGGCCAGTCTCCCTGATCCTCACCCGCCAGGCCAGGCTTCACGGGAAGTTTGTGCTTCTCCTTCCCCGGACGCCCCCAGGTAACATCCTCTAGGGGGACAGTGCGCAGGCAGCCCCCCTCTCTCAGCATGTTACCCTGGGGGTGCAGCCATCATGCTTCAACTAAGCGAAAACAGCTGGTGGGGGCTTTACCTTTTAAGGTGCTGAGGACAAAACAGGATTCATCCTGGAAATTCTGCACCATCTGAAAGGCAAGAGAGAGACCATGTCCCTTCAACCATGAGCTCAATAGGAAAGCCTCAGGGGTAGGAGCCCAGAGCCCGGACTACATTTTTGCTCGCTTTTGTTTTGCTGTTTCCCAGTTACTGGGTCTTCCAGCCCCTATCACAGACACAATACAGGAGCCTGTATGTATATAGTACCAAAGATAAAAAAAATAGTGTGCTTTAAAAACCTGGGTAATTAGCAGGTTCTGATTGTGAGTCCTAGGAGGGCCAAGTACAGGAGTGGGCAACAAATAGTAGGTTTACAGGTTTGAGTACGTGAAACACATCTATAATAATAAAGGGTAATATGCTAATGAGACCAGACATCATTCCAGATATCCTTCCTGACGAAGCCGGGGCCAGCAGCCAGGGGAAGGCCTACTCTTGCACGAATTTTCGTGCATCGAGCCTCAGTCCTATATAATAAAAGGCTAATATGCTAACGATATGCTAAGGCCACTCAATCGCTCGCTATGATGTGCACTGACCACCAGGGGGCAGGCACTCTGACCGATAGGTTAGCTTGCTGAGGTCCAGCCAATCAGGACTTAGTGAGATGGGCTGGACACGCCCTGGAGCCCTCCCACGGTCCCTCCCCAGCCCTGATCGTGCACCAGGCCTCTAGTAGTTAATAAAGCTACTGTAATAATCATAACCTGCAAGTCTTTTTCCATAATGTGAATGAAAAAGGAGCCACCTGCTAACCTGACAAGCTAGGGGAGGCCTGCGTGAGGCCGTACAAACTCAGACCTGAAGTGACCGCAGAGGACGGTCTGAATGAAAACTTCCCAACTGCAAGAGGTCCTGGCGGGCATCATGCCCTAGGCTGGCACTGCTCCCTGACAAAGGCCAGTCTTCACCGCACCTGAGCCCGTCTGCTATCTGGTTTTGCATCTAGGATAACACACCTGATAACATGCCTTTGGAATGTCAACGTAATTTCCTCTTTTCCTGGGCCCTCAAAGCACAGCCTCCCCAGAGCTGAGACCACAGATCCCTTCATTGTCATTGTTGTTAAGTTAGTTGTTGACTATTAATTACCTTATACCCACCAATGTAAAAGAAGTGTCTATTCCTTTTACTTTTCACCCAATCCCAGAGATTTCTCTGCTTTGCCTTCTCCCGCCTCCCTAATCAATCACCAATGAACTTCATGTAACCCTCTTACACCTTCTCCTTTGACTGTAATGTATAAAATGAAGGTGCAGAGGAGGACCACTATGGCAGTGTAGGTAAAGGCCAGCACTCGCCACCTCCCACAACCACATCGAAATTACAATTAAAATACAGAACCATCATTCAGAACAGCCTGAAAGCTGGCTGAATGGCAGCCCTACAACTAGAGACGTAAAGAAGAAAGCACATCGAGACTGAGAGGAGGGATGGAAGCACGGAGGCACAGAAAGGGCTGGGCCAACACCCATGTGTAGCGTTTTTCTAATTGGGAGAGATATCATGGCTATGGAGGCCTCCTGTGAGGAGCAAGGGGTCCCAGCCCCATACCAGACCCCCAGCCCAGGGTTCCAGTGCTGGGAAGAGCAGTCCCCATAACTTCAGGCTGTAAAAACCAGTGGGGATTGTGGCTGAGTGACATGGAGGCGGTTGGAGTGCCAGGGAGTTCTTCTTAAAGGGCCAGCACATGGACTTACCCAAACTCCATCCCTCTGGGCTCCAACACTGGAGTGGCGGCTTGAAAGGAACGTGAGACATTAGGGAAGGAACTAGATTGTCTGGCATCGGGGCAAGAACCTGAGGGTGGCTTTCCTCCAGATGGGGGCACTCACAAGGGTCATTGTTCCTGTGCTGGGACCTCCCCTATCCCAGAGCTGACTGACAGCCATCATCTTGGCTCACAGGGAAAATTTCCATAAGCTTGGCTCACACTGTTTGCTCCATCCTGATGATTCCCTGAGACCACACCCCATCCAATTTGCAGCCCCACTGAAGCTGTTTGCATTGGCTTTTCCATATATATATGGCCTGTCCAGGTTCAGGCTTCAGACTTTCCTAAAATCTCTTAAACAAGAAGCAGCTGACATCAATAAGAGAATTAAGACCCAGCACTAGCACCAGCCTGCCTTGCTTCACAGTTGGGTGCGCTTGGTCACTTCCAAGCCCAACACAAGTAGTAGCCATCTGCAGATCTCTCTGCAGCTCTTACCCCAGGCAGTGACTGACTTTGCAACTCCTGGGAGGCCTCAGAGCCAGTGCACCAAGTGGACAGCTTCAGACCATAGCAGATCACAACTCCTCACATTCACAAGTGACACACTCAAGGGGAAGACACATGCGCACGAAAGCCCCACTGAAGCAAGTCCCGCTCCATAGAGGTGTCTCTTGCACAGCAGCTCTTCCACTGTAGTTGCCACTGGTCCTTACAGCCAATTGGTGTGGGGGTCAAGTACTTCCAGTGACACCAACAGCAATCAAAGCTCAACTACAACAAGACAGTGTACACAGCCCACACAGGGGCACACCTAGAGTGCCCAGCTGAGAAGACTGGGGAGGTGGAGCCACTGGGGCCTACAGAACACCTACTCCACAAGGTCACTCTACCAACTCCAGGAGACACAGCAGCTCAACCTAATACATAAAAACAAACACAGGGAAGCAGCCAAAATGTGGAGACTAAGAAACATGTCACAAACGAAAGAAATGGAAGCAAGCAAACTACTGAACACAGAGTTCACAACAATGCTTATAAGGTTGTTCAAGGATCTTAATGAGAGCTTTAAGGGAATTAATGGGAGCTTCAAGGGACTTACTGAGAATTTCAAAGACATGAAAAAGGACTAGTGAGACATTCAGCATACATTAACTGAAATAAAGAATAATTTACAGGGAGGCAGTAGTAGAGGATTCTGAGAATCAAATCAACGAATATGAGGAAGGAAAAAACACCCAATCAGAAGAGCAAAAAGAATAAAGAATCCAAAAATATGAAAATAGTATAAGGAGCCTCGGGGACAACGTCAAGCATAACATCATTAGCATAATGGGGATGCCAGAAGAAGAGATAGAGCAAGATATTGAAAACTTATTTGAAGAAATAATGACAGAAAACTTCCCTACCTGGTGAAGGAAATAGACTTACAAGTCCAAGAAGCACAGAGAACCCCAAACAAGAGGAACCCAAAGAGAATCACACCAAGACACATCATAATTAAAATGCCAAGGTTAAAGACAGAAACAATCTTAAAAGCAGCAAGAGAAAAGCAATTAGTTACCTACAAGGGGGTGCCCATACAACTGCCAGCTGATTTCTCAACAGAAAGTTTGCAGGCCAGAAGGGAGTGGCAAGAAATATTCAAAATGATGAATAGCAAGGACCTACAACCAAGATTACTCTACCCAGCAAAGCTATCATTTAGAATTGAAGGTCAGATAGAGTTTCAAAGACAAGAAAAAGCTAAAGGAGTTCATCACCACCAAACCAGTATTACATGAAATGTTAAACAGCATTCTTTAGAAGAGGAAGACAGAAGAAAGAAGAAAGGGGAAAGAAGGAAGAAGAAGGAGAAGAGATAAAAAATATGAACAACAAAGTGGCAATAAATACATATCAACAACTGAATCTAAATCAAAATAAACAAACAAGAAATTTAATGAACAAAATAAACTGACGGATAAAATAGAACAGAGGCATGGAAACATGGAACAGACTGACGAATTTCAGAGGGAAGGGGGAAAAGGGGATGGGAAGAGAATAACCAAAAATGTTCTATGCATATATGCATTACCTATGACACAGACAATAGGGTCGTGAAGGCCTGGGGCGGGACAGGAACTGGGTGGAGGGAGGCACTTGGGGGAAAAAGAGGGGGGACACCTGTAATACACTCAACAATAAAGGCTTCAAAACAAAAACAGGAAGCAAATAAGATGTCCTGATAGGTACATGTATAAACAAACTGTAGTATATCCATAAAGGGGAGCATTATCCTATATAATAATAGAGAAACATGGTAATTAACCATAACTCTGCTGCCCTTCCCATTGGCTAATCAGCAAGATATGCAAATTAACTGCCAACCAAGATGGCGGCCAGCAGCCAGGCAGCTGAAGCAAACAGGAGGCTTGCTTGCTTCAGAGACGGAGGAAGCCAACGTTCCCCGCCTGCCGCTGCCGGCCTCTGAGCTTGCAGTTTAAGAAACATTGTTGCAATTATAGAAGCTAAAAAAAACCCAGAAACCTGCTTTCAGCAAGCCGGGCCTCAGAGCTGGAGTTGAAACAGTGTTTTGATTATAGAACCCAAACAAACCAGATACCTGCTTTCAGCAGCCGAGGTCTCAGAGCTGGAGCCGAGCCTCAGAGAGAAAGCCGGCTCTCAGTTCCAGTGACAGCCATAGAAGGTAAATAAATCCAAGAATTAAAAAAAAGAGAAAAAAAGGAGAGGTTTGGAGCTTCAGTCGCCCGCCAGCCTGAAAACGGCCCTCATCCCCTCACCCAGGCTGGCCAGGCACCCCAGTGGGGACCCCCACCCTGAAGGGGGTGTGACCAGCTGCAAACAGCCATCATCCCCTCACCCAGGCTGGCCAGGCACCCCAGTGGGGACCCCCACCCTAAGGGGGTGTGACCAGCTGCAAACAGCCATCATCCCCTCACCCAGGCTGGCCAGGCACCCCAGTGGGGACCCCCACCCTGAAGGGGGTGTGACCAGCTGGAAACAGCCATCATCCCCTCATCCAGGCTGGCCAGGCACCCAAGTGGGACCCCCACCCTGATCCAGGACACCCTTCAGGGCAAACCAGCTGGCCCCCACCCATGCACCAGGCCTCTATCCTATATAGTAAAAGGGTAATATGCCTCCCAGCACCGGAATCAGCGGAGCCGCGAGCCTCCCGGCACCGGGATCAGCGGAGCTGCGAGGCCTCCCGGCACCGGGATCAGCCGAGCAGCGAGGCCTCCTGGCACTGGGATCAGCAGAGCAGTGAGGCCTCACTGCCCCTGTGTCAAGCGGAGCCACGAGGCCTCCCAG